TGAATGGGTCAAGTCAATCACATCATTGTCTAATGATGTGATCCTGTTAATCAAATGACAACTCATGTCTATGGCTAGGAAACTTAACCATCTTTGATTCAACGAGCTAGTCAAGTAGAGGCATACTAGTGACACTCTGTTTGTCTATGTATTCACACATGTATTAAGTTTCCGGTTAATACAATTCTAGCATGTATTCACTCTGTATGGAAGGAAGGAGGCCCCACCCTACAATTCAGGGGGAGGGGTGAATTAGGAGACAAGACGAGTCTGTTCACAAGACCCTTTGCATTGATGGAGTCCGTAAGTGCAGCATTTTTGCTATAAACCGTTCACTCAAACCATGGACTTTATGTAGAAATGGTAAAATAATGATATATGTTAGGAATGCTAGAAAAAATCATAAACAAAGTATTATTAGTGTCACATGAAAAAAATACGAGGGACCCATATATTGCCCTCATATTTCAGTTCAAAAAGACAGGATGCCATATTTTTGGATGAACTTTCACAGCTTCCCAATCAAAAGCATATCCGGTGTCTACAGAACTTTTCACGCATTTCCTGAAACTTGAATGGTGCAACGGTGTTGAGGAAGGCGTCGTCTTCTAAAATATGTGGAAAATCTTAGAAACAACCCTTGGGTGTGGATAATCTTGTTACAAAGTAAAAAAAAGCACGGGAAGGTTTGACTGGGCAATATGGTCAATTTTAAGAGCATGGTGAGCTGATTTATCGTGTTTTGGCATGGCATGGTTGCTTTTGTTCTTCAATGATTTTTGAAGAGCATGTATGTATGTGTTCCCTTCACACATCTTTTGCAAGGTCCGAAACGTAGAAACCCAATTTTCAAATGTGCTTACTTCAAACGGTTCTTACATTATCAATTAAAACACATGGTCTCATGATTTGAGATTCAAAAAGAGCCGGACGGGCTAAAAGCACGTACGTATCCAAAGCTGGATGGAAGCAGGGGACGTGAAAGCAGAAAAGGAACGGAGCCGCCCGTTCGCGGTGGACTCACAAAGGAGAGAGAGTAAAATGACGGGCGCGTTCACTTACGTCGGGTGGGGGCGTGAGAGGACCGACGGATCGATGAGGTGCGCTACCAAAACGCTTTCCGCCCTCGCCACCCATCACCGACGTCAGCCACCCCGTTCGTTTGCACGGCCTTTCTTTCTGTCGCGCTCCGTTCCGCGGTGCGGTGCGGTGCCCGTGCCGTAGACGTAGCTTTCCCCGCCGTTTTCCCGGCTGGCCACTTGCGGTTAGGTCCGCCGCGCCCGCGTCACGGCGTCTGGCCCGCCCGTTTACGTGCCGCCACCAGTTCGCGTAAAACGAGCCTGGCTAGCTAGCTAGCTACCTCCATGTAACCAGAACTGCACGCCTGCCCAAGGCTTGGCTGCAGCCTGCAAAGGGTAATCCAGTCGGCTCGTGGTGTTACCGGTAGCTCAAAGCCTATGCAACAAAAAAAAGAAACGAACGAACTAGATCGAGTCGTATGTTGTTGCCGAGATGCCTGAGATAAGTATGATGATGAGAGTGATGCGTGCTGGCTAACGGAAAAACGGACGAATGTGTGTGTATGTGGATGTGTAGGTGTGCACGCGCGCGTCGCTGGACGCACCGCCGGTCGCGAGCCACGTCGGGCGGCTTTTGAGGCTGCGTTCAACGGCTCACGGCATGCGTTTGCCTACTCGCCATTGCCCGTTTGGGCATGCACGCCACGGCTCCCATCTTCCCGCCAAACGAGCGCGGGGCTCCATGCATGACTCGTCGCATTTTCCCTTCTCAGCGGGCAAGCTACGAGCTTCTTCTAGAGCTAGGTTTGTAGAATACTCCCGGCTTGTATCTAGAGCCCGAGTATAATATTTTTCTTAAAAAAAACAAAACGGTTCTTTAGGACTCGCTTTATTTAAAAAAAACTAGTATAGGATTGCCTAGTTAATATGCGAGAAACCAGATGAAAACCGTTACAACCACCCCTGTCATCGTGGACACAATGGACCGACACACAAAACAAACACCACACACTGCCGAGAAGAAAGGCGTTGGGAAGGTGGCACATCGGCGCCGTCGTCGTCGCCATGGATACTCCTGAGCTATGGTATAAGTAACCCGAACCAAAATGCCAACCTTTTTTTGTAGAATCTCAAATACGTGTATTCTTAGTCCCTTATTAAAATCTCTAAAAAAGACTTGTATTTAGGAACGAAGGGAGTAGAATACTCCCAACTCGAATCTAAAGCCCGAGTATACTTTTCTTTAATACATTGGTATTTTACTACTCACTTTATTATAAAAAAGGCAGTTCTTTTTTTTGCAGGAAGGCAACATAGTAGAAGAAAGACGCCGCCAAGGTGGCACATTGGCGTTATCGAGATCACTCGTCCGACTTCGCCACCAACGGCCACCCGCGAAGCCCTCACTCCTCCTACTTCGCCACCGACGAAGCCCTTGCCGCAATTGAAATGTGAGGCCATGCTACGAGCCGCCAAATAGCCAGATGCCAAGGACAGGGCAGGTCAAGTCAGAGTATAATCAAATCTTGAACCTAAATGCCAACTTTTTAATTAGAATCTGAAATGTGTGTATTTATGATCTGCGAAAATTTTATACGGGAAGAATGACTGATGTAGCGGTTGTTCGTGCATTTGTTTTGTAGAGCTCACATGTTTCACATGATTTTTTTAGGTATGAGGTGTTTTTAATTTCTGGTGAACCTTTATATTTGATCCGTGCAATTCTCACGCAAAAACACCCACATGATTTTTTTGGTGACATTGTCACTCTTGAACCTCCTGAAGTTCGTTTTTCCGTAGATACCATGCAAGTGTGTGTGTGTTTATTTACATTATTATCGGTGTTCCTAAAAATACACATAAATTTTCGCCGCTACACATTTTCATACGATGCGCAGACATGGGTTTTTAAGAATCAATTTTCAGAAACATCCACCTTGCCTTCTCCACACGCAAGCACGCTGAAAACGGAATTTATCATCTGTACAAACAATATTGTTGCGAGAAGCATATTCCGTACCATAAATATGGTTCTCTAAAATTGGCTACAACACCCGAAAGTGCTATTGTGAGCTCGAGCTCACAGGCACCCTTTGCTACAGTACAAACAAAAAATATATTTAAAAAGTTCAAAAAAATCTGAATTTTTTTGGCAACAAACATTGACATATTTTTCACATGCGTACAAATTTTCATGACAAAATGACATTCATGCAGGTCTCAGCAAAAAAAACAAAATCGATGCTCCAAAATGCTTCCAAAAACAGTTTTTTTGGAGCATGATTTTGTTTTTTTTTTGCTGACACCTCCACAAATGTCATTTCATCACGAAAATTGGCACGCATGTAGAAAAAATATCAAAGTTTCTTGACAAAAAAAATCAGATTTTTTTGAATTTTTTTACTATTTTTTCGGGTTTTACTGTTCATCCGGGATCACTGGTGCCCGGGATCAATTCCTCCGCGTCCTACAACACCTGGCTTTTGACAGTGAAACGGCGGCAGCATTATTTAGCGATGATCATAGTCCATTCTTTACATCCAGCGGTGCCTTTTCCTACCTCCCGGAGGGAGCATTGATTTCCCAAGTCAAGAACCGGTGCGCGGGCGTGCTTTGGTGGTTAAACCACCACACCACACCACACCAGCGCGTTGGGTTTCATTTCAACGAGAGGTTGCGGTACCTCCGTGGAGCGCGACGGGCCACCCGCCCTCTACAACTAGAGCAACATTATTATCATCAATATCAGCGATTAGTCCAGCCTGAATGCCACATTATTATTTCCAGATATTTTCTGGTTCACCAGTCCAGCCGATGCCCAGTCGTATGTTCATTTGTTAATCTGAGCCCATCGACGCTGATTGTTTGACAATAAGTTGGGCACCTACCCCGTCTCCCGGCCAATCCCCCTGCCAAATCAAACCACCAACTAATTCGTACTACTAATCCGGGATCTTCTCCCTGTTTGGAGAACCGAGGACATGAGCATACATTAGGAGAATGTGTTAGAAATTCTACCGCCGTTGCCGATGAATGAGAAAAGTTTCTTCTGAATCCACAGTGTTCCAAGATTTCATCGCCCTATGATTGCCAACCGGTGGTTGGTGCGGCAGCGAGCGGTGTCTGGGCTAGAATGGCAAGGGAATAATATGTACGTTGGGTTTTTCTTGAGAAGGCCTATGCGACCACCTAACGATTTTTTTGGATTCTGCTGGGAATTCGGTACTATTGAAATTGCGAGTGTGATAGGGAATAAGGTGGCTGCCCGAAATCATTCCAGGTCCTGCGTTTAATCAAGCCCCCCAGACGAAATGACCTGGTTTCTGGTATAATGATGCCACTCATATCCATTATCATGCACTGATGCACCTACTAACCTAATCCTTTGAATTTTCTGAAATCAAGGAGCACAAATCTCAGCAGCATCGTCCAACGGTCGCGTCAAGAAGCTGGGAATGCTGTCATGTCAGCGGGATTCTTCCAGGCCACGGGATCGGAGTTGGGAAAACAAGATAGGGTTGGAAGAACAATGTATTTCGTTGTTATAATACTGTATTTCTCTTGCATGGATCATGCGTGTGCGTGAGTTGGTACTAGGTCACTGGTGATGTGGGGTGGGGTGGCGTGTGAGGCTTGAGGAGTGGAGTGGAGCACCCCGGCCCAAATGATTGATCGGGTAGTTCGAAGCCGAAGCCATGGTGCCAGTGGATCATGCTGCAGACAAACTGGATAGGGTTTTTCATCATTGCTGCGCTGGAGCCCGGCGCTGCGGCGCTGTCATCATGGGCCCACGTCTCCCCAAATCTAACGTGTCTGCATGTTCAGTGCTGCTACACACACATCTTCAGTGATGTGTCACCCGCAACCTGCAGATCATCTCTGGTGTTTTATCTGAACAATTGTTTGCCTGCTAATGCTATTCTGAATCTGAAGCACATTCACCAGGGAATAAATACACGGAGGCATTTCCTCTCTGAAGTATCAGGTGGAGGAGGGGGGCTCCTCTTCGGAAGGCTCTTCGGAGTCGGACTGCTTCACGTCAGGGGCGTCCTTGGAGTCCGATAGCTCGATATCAATGGCGTCATCCGTGTCAGGCTCCTTCTCCAGCTCGAGGATCACATTGAACCCGAACGACGAGCCCGGCGCGAACGACGACTCCAGGTCGCCTTCTGACTGCGTCGTCGCGATCTCAGGGTTCACCTTGAGGTTCTCCTGCATCGGTTGCAAGGCCAGCGTCAGTTTATTCTGAATCCAAAAAGTCAAAGATTGGCTAGCCTGTTCTAATTTTATACGAAATGGCACCAACCTTCTTGACGAAATCGCCGACGGTGACACTGAGTATTTCCTGAAGGATGAACTTGGTGACCCGGCTCTTGCCGAGCATCGACAGGAGAATGCTGCTTGGTATCTGGACACAGTACAGGGATTCAGAAGCCGTCGTCAGTCCTCGGTTCTTAATGTGGGGGGTTAGGACAGCAGTGCAGACTTGATGGTGTAGTTTATGTCTATGTCTAGCCGTGTCATCTCTTGATTGCAATTAGTATTTAGTAGTAGCCCACACTTTCGGTTGAAAATTCAGCCGGTAACAGCTGAGCGTACTCGGCGATGCTCGATGGAAAGAAACTACTCCCTGTCCTTGGGTGGTTTTATTTCTGAACAAGGACGGTGTTTTAAAAGACTTTGCCATTCCGAGGAGGAGTTGGTTAACAACCCTCTTGAAAAGCATGCGTGAAAGAAAAGTTAGCCTTGCAATGCAATTAAAAGTGGCAACCCCATACACTAAACCCCATTTGGAACGGCGGAGTTTCGGACAAAAACCGGGGAAAAGCTCCCACATTGCAAGTGAGGCGTGAAAGGTTCACATGCACTTACATTTGATGTTTTCCCTTCAATCATCCAACAGATATCCATGAAGAAAAATGGCAACAAAATTGTTAGAAGCTTCAATGACTTGATGCAAGCAATCAAATATATAACATTGTTTCTTGCAAGGAAATGGGGATTAGGTTAATGAATCAATACCTCCCTTAGACCTTCTGAAACCTGGAACCGGCGGCGCGTCCTTGGCCAGGCTCGTCAGGGCTGCATCAAACACCTTCTGCGTTTCCTTCCCGGGCAGCTCGATTCTTAACTGCAGACAACAAGTTCCCAGCATCAGATGAGTCAAGACCACTCAAAACTGCCCTACGTCATTAACCATAGTACAATGTCCTTAGTATTAAGTTGAAGAGAAATGTCTGCACCAAACTATGTGACTAACTAGATGTGGACAGCTTTAAAAAATTTCTTTTTTGAGTTGACAGCTTTAATTTAACATGGCATGGCAGAGTGCACAAACAATCTCACATGGATCTTTTCGTCGTCGCGTTTGACAACGGTTGTCTTGAAGCTATCCAGCGAGAGCCCGGTCTTCTCGGCCTCGGCGACCGATGCGCCCCGACCTGCAGTTTTCTGAAAACTTCAACACAGTGTCTGAACTCTGAATCTGAAGGTTCCGCATGACACTTGAACATCACGGACAAAGATCAACACATGTACTTCAGTGGTATGTTATGGCAGAAATTGCAGCTCACCTGATCGAGCCGCCGACACCGGCAGGAATGTGTGCCTTGCACTTCTCCCGGTAGAAACAAGCAACCTGGTACATTTTTACCACAAGTATCTCCTGGTAAACTGAAGACTGAAGCAACAAAAGCAACACATACAGGTTACAAACATGGTCCATGGAAAATTTAGGTTTTACCCTTGGGCGGGCATGGGGCACTTGCAAGAATCACCAATCTTCATGTGGACATGGACCGGGTCAGCCGCCTACAAGGTTAAATCAATGGCAATCACTCGTTGAACTCCTGCGCTGCTTGCGTGAGGGCACGTACGGTTGAAGGATTAACTGAACCTGAAGATGGGAGTAGCCGTGGCATCGCGGACCAAGCTGGAGCTTCGGAAAGGTCGCGGCTGAAGCCATGGATGTGGAGGCGAGCTTCCCCGAGGTTTCGGCTGCGATTTGGGGAGGCGGAGCTGGGGGAGAAGGGGAGCCGTAAAATGCTATCCGAAATTATCTGCAGCGAGGCAAGGAGAGGGAAGAACCCTCGGTTGTGTGTTGGGCCACTAAACGGCCGATGCTGTTTCAGCGGAAGATTCTGATGGTAGCCTACGGGCCGTGTACATAGGCCGCATTTGACCATAAACACTTCGCAGGATACCTCCGTCCTGGTTTATTGGTTCCCTCAAAATTTTGTGCCAAATTTTAACTAGAGATTTAACTAACTAAATATTAATGCATGTCATCGAAAATTACATATTGAATTCGTGTTTTTCAATTATATAAATTTTTATGACATGAATTAACATTTTGTTAGTAAAATTTGAGACCAAAATTTGACATAAAATACGAAGGGGACCAATAAATCAGGACGAAGGTAGTACAAGGCTACAACCTAGAGCAGCTAACAAATTGTTACCCCTTCCGGGGCTTCTATAATTGTTATGAGTATAAATAAAATTATAGGTATTTCTCAAGAAAGAAAACTAATTGGCAAGAGTCAATTTTTTGCTTGTGGGTGTGCCAAGTGGTGCGTCCAGTCTCGGCCACGTGTCGCGTCTTGGACACTTTCTCTAGATTTTTCACGTGTTCTTCGGGGTTTTAGATGATTTTTGTTGTTTTTGGCTTTTCGGTTATTGCCTGATTTTTCCTAAGTTCTTGGGGATTTCTTTTGACTTTTGAAGCACAAATGTGTTTCTCAAAAAAGAAAACTTGTGTTACCATGCGCAGCAGAGTTTTGCTTCCTTCAGTAATACAACTGTGCTTCCGTGAGAAGCATAGATGTGCTTCTCGAAAAGGAAAAAACAATTATGCTTCTTGGAAAAAAAGCACATGATCCGCTTCTACGAGAAGCACATCATGTGCTTCCGCAACCTTGTGCTTCCCTGAAAAAAAATAAAAAAACACAGCATGTGCTTCACGAGCCTGAAGAAAAAAGGGAAAAAAATCACAACTTGTCTGCTTCTGCGAGGAGCACACCCGGTGCTTCTCTGAAAAAAAAAAAACATAGCCTGTGCTTCCCCAAAAAAGAAAAAACTGCAACCTTGCTTTGGTTTTTCTGTTGTCATTTCTTCATTTTTTTCATTTTCTCTTTTTTTTTTGTTTCCAATTTTTGTTTTTCATGGAAAAAAATCGTCAAAACTTATTAAAACGCGATCTAATTTTGAAGATCTCAGTGAGAGAAATCCAACAAAAAAACGTCTTCCCTCTTTTAGAGAAAAGGCCAAGTGGACTGCAAAATTCAAATCGGCAAGAAGCATGATCGCGTTTAAATGGGAGAGCAAATCCTATTTGACGCACTGCGTCAAATATCTGCCCTTTCGACCAGACAAGTGAGCACCATCGGGCCGACCAATTTGCAGCTACGTGAACCCGATTTTAGGGAACTTATGGTCCGTTTTTCTTGTTTTGTTAATTGTTCAGTTTTTTATTTTTTATTTTAATGTTTTTCAGAAATTTCAATATGTTCAATAAAAAATATATCTATACCATTATATAGTGCGCCAATAGCTTCAAATATTAGCCATTGGTGCTCCATCCAACGGTCGAGAGATGGCAAATCCGAGCATTTTCATCCCTTGGATAAAGTTTTCAACTTATAGGATTTTGTCACGTGGCCTTCTAATTGAGCCCCCAACTCTGCCATCTCATGTGTTGTAGAAACATCTTTTCACATGCTTATTTGATACCCCAGTAATAAAGAGACCAGAACAATCTGGATTCTAGAGAGATAAGAACCAAGTTAATTCTTGTCCAATACAATTCTATGAAAGGAAATACATATTCAAATGTACTTTTTCATGCTTTTATATATTTAAATGACGTGCAAAGCACATACAATTTACTAGTAATTAATGGTTTGGGGTTTTAAAAAATGTCCATGTTTACCTATATTGGTTCCCATTTTATAAAAAATGACCCGTAATTTTATTTTTGTGTTTTCAAAAAGGAACCTTAAAAAATACATTTTACAAATATGGTCTCAATTTTTTAAAACTATTATAAATTTTCAAAAATTAAACTGTCATTTTCATGTTACTTCAAAATATCAAACGGAAATAAAAATCTGGAAATGTGTGTGTGCGTGTGTGTGTGGGGGGGGGGGGAGTAGTTTAGTTCTTCAAGTCCTCAAAGCCTCCGACTTGCAAAGTCGGTAGAGAGAAGTCGTACAAGTCCTGGTACATAGTCGTGATTAAGCCAGGGTGCCTCAAATTCACTCAAGTTCCATCTGCCAACAAGACCCATTAGACCTAATAATAACTATTACAAAGCGTCAATCTTTTGCGAACAGAAAAGCGGCAGTGGCGATTACCAAACCCAGGGCACTCGCCGGGGTTGGCGGTGCTCCCCTTCTCCTTCAGTCGTCATCTTAGCGTCGTGAGGGGGAGGGAAGGCCCCGTTCTTCATTTGGGTGTGTTTTAGTCCTATGTTTTCTAAGTTTTCGAATTACCTCCGTTGGTGTCATGGTGGAGCAGATGCCGATGGTGCTCATGGGAATAATGGTCTCCTACTCCGTGCTCCTGCTTGTCGGAGGTGTTGCTGGTGCCGACGAGAGGCTTGTAGAGTCCAAGATGTTGGAGTCTCTTCGATCTGCCGTTGCATCTTGGTATAGCGGTAGGGATGGGCTTTTCTTGAAGTGCGTCCGTGATGATTGCGGCAGATATGCGGAAGACTGTGGGGGATCCGGCCGCCTATTGACGGGTGGGTTGGCGTTGACCCCAGATCCGGCGTTGCAGAGGCTCAGAGGGCACGTCCAGCCGATGTTCCTTATCGAGCTAGATCCAACCTTCCCGGGTTGATGGTTATCATGACTCGTTAACGCCTCCTGGCTAGGGGTTTCTTCAGTGAGAAGATGTGAACCAGATTCTGGTGCTCTTCTTCTCCGGCGACGGCGAAGGTCGTGGGTGCTTGATAGTTACGACGATGGTGGTATGCAGCAGTACAACCACTTGTTCCTTCATGTTTTATCTTGCTTGTATGTGTATCATCTGTGCATCATTACTTTTATGAATACAAGTAATGTATGCCCACAAAAAAAATGCATAAGGGCATACATCTTAAAAAAAAACCTGAAGCATCAATCTTTTTTTCTTTTACAATTATTTCATTTCTTTCCTATTAAAGTCCAAAGACTTTCACAGCTTAAAGAAATGTACTCCGCCAAGCAATTCAGCGAATTTGCCGTTCCGTCTTGTTCTGCTTTGGACCATTCAGAGCGTTTATAATTATCAAAGTCAAGGTCGCAACGTAGAATTTGGTGATGATGATAGTTCATGTTGTTGACACAGGCACTGACCTTCACATGGAGCTTACGTTGCGTCAGCCGTGCCCCAATCTCTACTTTCAAGGTACTACTCTCGTTTTCTTTGTTTGAATTCGTTGGTGTCAACCATCATTGTCATTGGTTCTGCACCAGATCAACTAGGGCTTTGATTAGTTGAGTTCGAAAGGAAAACCGGGGCTAGTTTCACACGGTAAGTGAAAAGGCTGCCTCACCATGAATTGCACCGTACAGCTTTTGTGTTAGCTTGCCATTAAACGGCAGGTGCTGTTGATTTCAAAAATATATTGTAAAAAAAAAGGCAGGTGCTGTTGAGTAAAAAAAAGGCAGATTGACACTATGATGCTCCTGAGTGCCGATTTAAATTCCCCAGTCCAGTGGTTGTTCCTTTTTTCTCTCTAAAAAGGTAGAAGAATAGAGAGGTCAAAGAATGGAAGAGCTTATGTTAACATTGTGTTATGTCTTATTTATATGTCTCGGGAGAATCGGTGGATATCCAGTGGGTATGGATATTCATCAAGTTTGGACATGGACATAATTTTTCACCCGTGGACTTTTTCATGGATAGGCAAATGCCGTTTTAATCAGTGGCGGAGCTACAACAAATAAGTTGGGCGGGCCAAAAAAAATTGATGCTAAATCATACAGTTAATTAGGCATTAGTCAGTGCAATTTCAGGTTGCTGTATAGGGAAATTTGTATCGAGATGATGTTGTCAAGTAAAATTTGAAGAAAGAAAGAAAATTTCTTGTGCGCTAGCTGCCTAGTTCTATGGTCTTGTACTCACTGCCTTGATAGCTAGCCGCTGGCAGCCGCCATGGCCACGCCCTCCTTGGCATAGGGATAGGTCACCATCAGCGCTGCTACACGCGGTGGCTGGATGCCTGGCTGTTGGACCTCTCCGTCTCCAAGTGGCTCGGGTCAGTGCTGAATCGGGGCAGAAAGCTCATAGCTGGATGTGAGGCCTCAACCCTAGTGCCGCCAGCACCTCCCCCTCCACCCCCTCCTACCGCCGCTGCCGCCGGCGTGGGCCACGGTGGCGGCGGGCCTGGTGCCAAAGGTCCTCGGCGGGGGGAGACGGCGGATCCTATCTGAGGCGGCGGGGACGGCCCTTCTCATGAGATCCAACGGCGGCGGCTAGGACGGAGTATTCGGGCTGTGCGGCGGGGGCCCGAGCACCATCGTGGGCGAAGCGGCGGCCCTGCATGGACGGCGGCGGTGGCAGTGCCCCATCCGGCGAGGTGGGCTGTCCTGCTCGTGATGGTGACGACGGCTACTGCGGATCCAACGCCCCGTTTGGATCCGTCGCGGGGAGGCCTTTCGCTGACCGGCGGCGCGTGGAGGGACCGGTGAGGAGATGCCGGATCTCCGCTGGAGTACCGACGGCAACATACGTCTTCATGGCGAGGTTCCGCTCGGTTCCAGCCAGCCACGAGGTCGGGAAGACGTGGCTTCCGATGAAAATCGCGCCAGACTGTGGTCTTGGCGGACGATGGCGGTGTCTCAGACGTCGTTTCCTTCTGGAGGCATCATCGTTGCAGGTCTCATCAACCTGATCGGGAAGTTCCGGGGAAAACCCTAGATCTGGGTCTACCGGATCGGACGATGACGGTGCTATCGGTATCGTTCTCCCTCATGGGGG